CAAAACTTCGACGAGGTGACGCTACTGCTTTATGCAAACTGGTTGGGCGTCGCGTTTACCCTTGCGTACGTATTTTGGATAGGGATGGCCGACACCGCCGCCTGTGCACACTGCAGAGATGAAGAGACAATTCGACATGACCTCTGTGACTGCCTGGATTACAACCTAGAAAGATGATACCTTTCTCATACACTAAATAAGTTAGATGACCAGTCGCTCTCAGAAGAAAGTATGCTGTGCCATCATCATGACTCATCATCACAGAAAGCCGTGCAAGCGCTACTGGACTTCTTGCGAACTACTGGCCTGTCGGAACGCCTCTAAGTTGATCGATTGTGTATGCGTGTGTGTCTGTCTTTTGCTCTTAATTTTTTTAAAGACGATTGTCTTTCTTGGGGACCTTCGACGCAATAATTTTTGTATGTATGTCTGTCTATACATTTGTCTATTTGTCCACTCTTAACGGCACTGGGTGTTTGAAACGGTCGACCCAATCGGAGCGCCACCAATGTTGCTCAAGGTTTAGCCTTCTTGCTGTAAAAGGTACAAAGACTGCACCCATGTCTACGACGACTGGCCTTCGTACTGCCAAACAGGTTTCAAAAGGCTCGGCTTGGTTATTCCAACGCACGCCACAACCATCAAATTCAGACAGCTCACGCAACCACATCAACGGCAGGAGAGCTTCCAACACTTCCCGCTGCGCTGCGTTTCATTAACGACCAAAGCACGCAACGGTGGACGATCTTCTGCGACTGCGAGGCGCCAATGCAGTCACTTGTGTCAAATATACGCCGTGGTCCACACGAGCAGTTGGCATTTGAGACGGCAGAAATATTACACCATATAACTGAGAAAGGGCACCACGTTATATTTCAGTGCTGGCCAAGCCACTGTGGAATTATCGGTAATGAACGGACTGATCAAGCTGCCTGTTCAGCCCATACAAAAGACAACGACCTATCAATACCTCCCTCTAGGGCGGATGCTCCTAGGAAGCTCCGCATGCTTGCTTGCCAATGCTCCATGTCACTTTGGAATGAGCCTCTTTTTACGCAAGCAAGATTACGATCCCTTGATCCTACGTTAATCTTACGGATTCGAACAAAACTTTGACAAGGTGACGCTATTGCTTTGTGCAGACTATGGTTGGGCGTCGCGTTTACACCTATGCGTACGCGTTCCGTATAGCGATGGCCGACACCGCCGCCTGTGCACACTGCAGAGATGAAGAGACAATTCGGCACGGCCTCTGTGACAGCCTGGAATATAACCTAGGAAGACGATATCTTTCTCATACACTAAACAAGTTGGATGACCAGCCGCTGTCAGAAGAAAGTATGCTGCGCCATCATCATGACTCATCACAGAAAGCCGTGCAAGCGCTACTGGGCTTCTTGCGAACTACTGGCCTGTCAGAACACCTCTGAGTGGATCGATTGATTGTGTGCATGTGTGTCCGTGTTTTGCTCTTAATTTTTTTTAACTTTTCTCTCTCTCTTTCAATCCCCTATTCCCCAACTCTAGTGTAGGGTAGCATACCAGATATCAGCACCTGGTTAACCTCTGTTCCTTCCGTTTTTCTCGTTTCTCTTTCTCTTTCAGCCAGTGAGAGGGCACATGATACAAAGGCCACTTTGTGAAGATGTGAACCGTTCTTTTGTTATAAGACCGCTCGTAACCCAACATCCGACGCATCTGCAGTGACTATGACAGGTGGCTTAAGGTTGAATATCTGCACAACAGGTTTGCAGGCCAATTGCTCTTCCAACTGATGAAAACTCTTCTGAGCTTCAGCTGTCCATTCGAATGAATGACATCATCGGAGCATTTTGCTCAGCGATTTCACTGGATCGGCATAATGATGTAAGAACTTGGCCTGGTAGCCAGGCACTCCGTGGAAGGACTAAAGGGACTTAATGTTCTCTGGTGTGGGTGCACGAACTATCGCTTTAGTTTTTGATTCAATCGTAGAGAGATCTTCAATGAAAATGGTGTGACCCAGAAATGTACTTTCCCTGCAATAATACCGTTGAAGAAAGGACGAGCTGACATCCCCATGGCGAAGCTCACCGTCGATTTCTTCTTTATTTGAACATACCCAAAACTCAGTACACTCGGTCTTCCCTTCTTCATATTTATGTCAGCGGCCCACACAAATTTCAACAAACACAATTGTGATTCAATTTCATCCCTGTTTTGTAAATGCATGGCAGCACTTCCTTCAAGTTGAGGTTATAATCCAACTCTGCACTAGCTACTTTCCTATCGAAAATGCAAGTAACCCTGATAACGCGAATGTCGTTCGTGACCGGAATGTACCAGGCGCGGTGCGATAGGGGGACACAAGGATGGAACGCAATATAGATGAGGATTATTGTTGTGGGACCAAAAGGCGCCGTTTTCACACGATCTTTTCTTAGAGTGTTCTTCGTGTCACCTTATAACGTTTCCTTCTGGTACAGATGTAAAAAAAAAACTAAAGGAAATTCAACTCAAGATTTGAACATGACGAGAGATAGCAATTGAACAACCTTAAAAAAAGTTTAGAAGATTTCAACACAAGACTAAAAATCAAAATGTAGCAGAATGCTACTTTTCCTAAAAAATTGAGGTACTAAAGTACTCAGACAAAGCATGGACAGCTGACTGTGAAAACATGAGATAAGTATTGAAGAATTGGAAACCAGGTTGACAGCTAGCAGTCTACTATAGAGTTCAAGGTAGTCAATGAGGCTGAAAATGGAAATTTTAAAAGGGGGTGTCACCGCCAAATTTGTGGCTTGTACGTTCTTTGTTGCACACATTTATTATTGCACTCAGAACGTGATACCCACTTCAGGATTTATGTAATACTGCTAAATAATTTGATGCCACCTTATTTATTCATACATCTTTTGGTTTAAGTTTTCGGATGCAGATTTGAACAGTCACATCAATGTGTAGGAAACTTGAACACATGTGCTTACAAATCTCTGACACATGCAGTGCCGTATCGAATGCTTTTACGCACACTTGCAAGCAATTCTCTTGATGCCTTAGCAACTTTCTTAGCTTCTTTGATTGAGGATATCCATATTCTTTCGTCAATTTCGGTAATCGCTCCGTTACATTGTTTAGTCTTTTACAGCGCAAGCCGCGCTAGCAGTGTTTGAAAAGCTTCACAATTGCAGTAGATCATTTTGTTAAGATTACGCGCACAACGCGAACATAACAGATTACTGTTGAACCTACGTGGCCACAAGTGATAGCACTTTAACATTCAATGCACATGTCTAAATGCCGATGCGCATCAGCGTTGGTCAGTTGATCAACGGTTGAGGCTTTCTTTGTTGATACCAGTGCCGGCGTAAATTGCCGCGATCTGACTTTTCGTTTACCGGCCACAAGTTCGGCCAAATAAACAGTTTCAGTTTGGACAAGCCGTCTCTCCCTTCTTCAGCGTCACGACCCCGTGACAATATCCGCAAGTACAGTATCTCTGTATACACAGAGATTCTTTCCAAAGAATCTAGTTACAAAACGGTGGTATGAAAATCTTACGACGTTCTGTGTAATCGTGTGAATATAGGTGCATATACTTGTTTTCCCTGTGCGGCCCTAATGGAAAAAAAATGTTTGAAATGGCTGCACTGTCGAAAGTATCGTTACGGAAAATTTGCACCAGCAGAAAAATAGGATTAATCAGATTTCTGCAACCAGAAATCGGTGCTGCCCTGTTCATTCAGCCACCAATTCGTCTCTCATGAAAGTTTCCATCGGTGTTCAGCGCTGCTGACTATGGCCAGTTTTAATCAACTATAGAGGGCATGAAGCTTTCAGAACTCTTACTTTTGGGATTGGATGACCTATTTTGCGCCATTCACAAGCCTTATACTTTGAGATTAATGACAAGCCTGCTTTTTCTTGACGTGCTCCATGGCGATCTGGTTGCAGTACGACATGCCAGACGGGAAGCGACAGTTCATGAGATGAAGGCTGGCTTCCAGAGTCTTCGTCATCAGAAAAAAAACAATGTTTAAAATTTTTTTCCACAGTCTGTATTGGTGCACTGCGCAATACCGTTCTAACATGGCGGTCGTAGAACTGTTCAAACCCCTCAAGTTTCTGCTCCTGATTGGCTTTCAGTCCATGCTACACACAATTCCAACAACTGCATGTTATTGGAAGCATGCACCGCTCTTCCGCTGCCACCTTGCATTTCATTTGTGACCGAAGAAGGGCGCCCACTACAAATCACGTACAGTTATCTTTCACCATAAGAGAGGGATGCGCTAGATCGGGACTTTACAGCATACATAAATACGAAAATATTCTTGCAAGTATTTCCTTGACTACGAAGGCCAATAAGTGATTTTCATCATTCGCTTCAATTTAAATTAGGTAGATTCAGATGAGCATTTTCCAGAATAGGATAATATTTTTATAAGATGATATTTTGTAAAACTTCATACAGAAGTATATAATTCGTTTGAGTTTTGACACCTAGTGCAAACAAAACACGGACAAGAGGACAAAATGGCGGCAGAAGTGCTGTGTCAGTGCTTTCAACGATTCAGTCCTTCCGTCGTCGTTTTATTTCGTCCGTGTTTCCTTTACTCCGAACGTCATGACCGTTTTCCAACTCGCCTAATTTGGTACTGTCTTATTGGTTTAAGTTCTTGAGCAACATTGGCAGTGCTGAATGCTGCATTGGAAATAGATAAGATTAGGGAAATATACATGTGTATAATTGGTTTCATTACATCTTTTAATAGATGTTTAAGAAGCATGTATTCCAACAATTCTGATATGTTCTTATTTTCGTGTGTACACATCAGTAAGTTGTCTTATCGTGCACTATTTCAGATTCTTGGATGGTTGCTCTCTGGAGGCACAACTATTCTACACTCATCAAAACCAAATTATTGTAGCGAAAGAGATCAAGCTTTCATTTCTTTTCTGAGAATACCATTTAGCAGTATCGATACCAACAACATATCAAAATTTATTTCAGGATGACTTCACAGCAGAACCAGTACATGGAGCAGCACCAGGTGTGGTTCGTAATTTGGGACAAGCTGTGCAAACATCACCAGAGCCAGCATGTGAAACGAACAATGGTACAGAGAAATCGGTTCAAGTGCAGCTACTTATGTGCCACGAAGGATCCCAAATGGATGAAAAGAAAATCCTATCATCAACTGCTGTGCAAACAGAACCATACGCTTTTTCTTCAGGTATGTATTCGCATTTGTCCTCAGATTTCTTTGAAAACTTGGTTTTGCCGCAAAGCTGCCATAGCGGCATTTCAGAATGTTACATGAAGTTATGGGTCTCACAAGTTATAGTCCTTCAGAACGCTGACATAAAGGAATACTGTTGCCACAGTGAGCAAAGCAATTTTTGTGTTGTCTGTTGCTTCAGTGCAATGTGATTTGTGAGAGCGCAGCAAGTACAGTGCAAGTAAAGGTATGAAATGCCTGTTGATCTATTTCGAGACAGCGTGCTACCACGCCTATTTATTACCTTCACAGCTGTAGTCCAAGGAAGTCACCCCCTGTGTGGCCCTTTTTGACGTGCTTTAGTGTGAGGGACACAGACAGCACATTTGATCTTTGCTTGATTGGCAAAACCGTGCCCAGTCTTGCAGGCTTTCACTAAGCTATAGAAGGTACGATGCGCTAAACGACCATGTTCACTCAGGCTTTCTGTAGAACCTGATGGTGCTCATACGGGCTGTCCACAAGGCATAGATTATGCGTGCTTGGCCAGTGCTTTGTAGGGTTGATGTGCGAGTTTTAGTTCGCTGTGGATGTCCATGCAAATTGTGGCAAGTGGTGTTGCATTGTGGGCTACGCACGATTCCCATGTAAATACCACGGCAGTCACTTAACATACCCAACCTCTTTAGGGAAACACCTTTCAAAATCTATGCCGGGTTCTCTCTTACTTACCTATCAATGGTTGTAAGCTCGGCATGTGGAACAGCCACCGCATACACAACTAAAAGCCCCCAAATGGGATTGTCAGAACGAAATAGTATTCGCTTTAAACGCCCGATCCCATTTTTTGGCAACACTGCCTGGTACCCCTTCAAAGCGAGATAGCTCCTTAACAAATATTTACCTCAGCGCTGCCTCGCTGGAGCCCTGGGACGCCCGTCTCTCGGGGTAGAAAGACGACAACAGGCAGTCCCACCACAGCCGCTCATGCCTTCGTCGCCTGATTAGTGACGGTCGGTCAAAAAAAAAAGAGAGATGGAGCTTCTGCGACACGCAAGCCCTTACCTTAGCCAGCCACCGTCTACAATATAGGGACCACCACCCAAACTACACTGAATGCAACACTTCTAAGAAAATGCACACTCGCGACGCCACTCGCATAGCACAGTGAACCGTGGAACTTTTTTCAAGTTTTTTTCCCCTTTTTTGTCTTTTTTCTTTTTTTCTGTCTTCGCCGTTCTTCCCCTTTCATTTTTTTTTTTTTTGCTCAAAATATTATAAATATGACCGCAAACAGAATGTACCCTCATGCCTGATGAATACCAGACTCTGGCCGAAATTGTCAAAATAAACGCTTCCATTGTTACCGTTCTCATGGAGGATCTATTTGACTATTTGCAATACTACAGGCAGCATATATATATGTGTGTGTGTGTGTGTGCATGTGCGTGCGTGTGCGTGTGTGTGTGTGTGTGTGTGACGTTTATATGAATAGGAGACTTGGCCTGGCTCATACGCCATGTTTATTCTAAAGCACTTCTTCTGCCTCTGCCTCTATCAACCACCAGTACTAACGTCACTTGATTCCCCCTCCCCCCTGAAAGAAGGCATGGATTACGAACAAGAAAAAGTAAACAAGGCAAGGTTGAGAAGTCACAAATGTCAAAATGCACAATTGGTTTCATGTCCCAGTGGTGTTCCGTAAACTCGCAAAACTTCAGAAAAGAGTGGAGCAGTCCAGTGAATAGGGGAGTTCTGGCGGGTGAGGTTGGCTGTGGCGTTCTGGAGAAGGTAACCGTGTCTTGCAAAACTGCACTGACTATGACATGACTTGAGCAGCTGCGAGGAACGAACAAGGTTGGAAGTCCTTGGAGCACTTGAAGGTGAATGTCGTAGGCGCCGAATCCTCGGTCGTACGCACTGTATTCTGTGTCCCGGCTGAGACAGAATTAGTGCTTGCAGCCTGCATGTACAAGAACTAAAGTTCAAGTAATTATGTCTATGTTCGTGCGTTGTGCAAATTATAACGTTCAGCCTTTTTCGTAGTTTTCTGTGGCGTTGTCTCCGTTGTCGTAAACTAATAGGATGGTGTCTGAATTTTTGCGTGGTAGAACTGGTGACTTCTTGTCTTGTTCGGTGTTTCCTGAGGTTTCGGAGCTGTAATCTTAGGCGCAGTCTTGATATTTCAAGCCAAATGCGTTTCTGGCACCGATCGCTTATGCAAAGTTGCCTCGTTCTTGAGTTTGTTTTAAGAGGCTTGCTTTGCATCGTCGTCCTTGTTGGTGTGTCCGTTGGAGTGTCTGTGATTCACGGACTTGCTTCTGCTGGCGTTGCTAACGTTGCTGTGTACCGTATTGCGGTAGAAGCCCTTCTTGAACATTGTGCTGGTTTTCATGACAACCTGATGGGGTCTCCAGTCGGCAGCTGGTAGTCTGTGAGCTGTTGTCATGCAGTTCAGGCAATGAAGATGATGCTCCAGAGTTGATAAAAAGTTCTTCTACACTGTTCACTACGAGAGGCTCTTGCGCATGGCAGCGTGTGACGTTCGATGCGTCTGAGCTTTCGGTGTTGCTTCAACTGTCGAGTGTGTATGCATCGGACGGTGATGCATGAGCCCGTGCGGAAGGAGCATGGCTCGACTTGGTATTTTCTCGGTGTGTCAACTCGTCTATCATGAACATGGTGTTCTTATGAGGCAAACGGTGAGCGTCAGGAGCGCTTGAAGAGCCACATGAAGGTAAACCAGGTGGTGGACCACGTATGCAAGATGAAAAATGAAGTGCATGAGGTGGGTAAGCAACGTACTGTGCCATGTGCTAGAGCGAGGACTTTGAAAATACTGGCTTTTGTGAAGAGAAACGTGGTGAAAAGCTACGTTCCTTGAGTAATAAGCGTGGACTGTGACGGTCGAGTTTGGTTGTATGCAGATGGTCCGTAATGAGGAAGTCCTTGTTGTAGTCGTTAAAACGGACAATCATCTCTTCTCTAATCTTTTGCCATGATTCGTCGTTTTCGAATATGTGTGTCAGGTAAAACTTAAATGCCTCACCGGAGATGTAGTCAGTGAAGTTGGTGATCATCTCCCGTTCCGACCATGATGCAGCGGTAGCGTGAAACTCGAAGAGGTTGAACCAGTTTTCTACGGGTCCGTCGTCCGCTGATCCGGTGTACTTGGGGATGTCAAGGTCAGCAGATGGTTCTGACATGATGCTGGCCGATGTGTAATACTAGGCGCTTGTACGGTAGTCCATCTGTGGTCATGGTGTCTTGCGGAGAACTGCGTAGATGATGAGCGACTGATGAAGGGGCTGGCAGGTCTTCATTATGTCGACTTGTGTAACGCTATGATGTGGGAGACGTGGCCTGGCTCATACGCCATTTTTATTCTAAAGCACTTCTTCCTCTGCCTCTACCAACCACCAGCGCTAACGTCATATATATATATATATATATATATATTACAGAAATAAGAAGGAGAGGCAACACCTTTGCTGCAAGCCGGCTGTTTTTTATCTGCTTGGTTCTTCTTGTCTTCGCAGTGTAGCCTCTAGCATGGGCGTAGTCCTTACACTCTGCCATGACTGCGACGTAGCATGACGAGCTGCCAGATTCTCTCTGGGGGGGGGGGGGCGACACTGGCTGTATCTGGGTGGTCGTTCTTTTGGAGGCCGCGATGTGTCTTCCGGAAGCGCCGATGACTCAGGCAGCCTAGCTTGGTTGCCTCGTTCTGGCCGCAGGTCTCGGCAAAGCTGCCACATTGCAGGAAGAGCTGGGGAACTGGTCTCTGGCGAGCGGCCTTAACTAAGCCACGGTGGTCAATTGTGCATACGCCGGGACTTGACCTGTTGTACTCTCAAACATTCTGGTGGGCGTCTGTGTTGGGGTAGTCTGTGCAAGTCTTGTCCATGCTGTGAACGAACGTCGTCATGTGTAGAGTATGGGGCACACACTGAGCTGATATTTCTGCACGTCCTTCGTGCATTCAGGGGTTACGAGGTGTCCCATTTGACATATGGGACATCACAGGGCAAAGTTGATGTATTGTCTCATGGCACAGGTCGTGACCTTGTGAAATTGCTGATGTCGTGCTGCTGGAGGCTTCCGACAAGGTGTGATATGCAGTCAAGAGGTCTAGTTTATAAGCCTGATAGACAGGTGCAACCGTGGTTTGTATCAGCAGGTCTTGCCTGATAATATCCTCAGGCGTTATAGCCACTTCGGAATCTCCTAAGTAGACGGTACTCTGCAAAAGGCAAGCATCAGCACGCTCGGCCAATGACTGCATTGATGACCGGAAACGATGCAGCATGGAAATGTTCATCAAACCAGCAGTAATGGTCAGTGCGTCTCCAGCTGGATTGGAGGTAGCTGTATTGTTACGGAGTAGAACGACGCGTCCAGGCACTCCAGCGATGGCTAGCTTCGAAGTGGACTGACAGGCTGCTGTAACTGGGAGACGATCTTGGTCCTTGTCAAGGGTGGTTCTGTAAGATGTGTCGACAGAGAAGCTGACTCTTGTATGGAGAAGTATGCCTGGCGGCTAGTGTCGATGACTGCCACAGAGTGATCTGCATAGTTGTTCCTGGAGCCCCTACAAGGCACAGTTGTACGAAAAGGGCGTTCCGTCTTGAGAGCTTTATCCCCAAAACAGGGCAAGCTGGTGGGCGCCCGAACTGCACCGCCAAGGTTGTGTGTTGCACCGCCTTGATCCACGGTTTAGTCGGAATCAGAGGCATGAAAAAGTGGGCGAAATACGTTACTCCACCTCGCACACCATTCAGGCCACGAATGTTGTTTCGCACCTTCGGCCCGCCATGGTGGTCTACTGGCTAAGGTACTCGGCTGCTGACCCGCAGGTCACAAGATCGGATCCCGCCGGCGGCGGCTGCACTTTTTGATGGAGGCGGAAATGCTGTAAGCCCGTCTGCTCAGATTTAGTTGCGTGTTAAAGAACTCCAGGTGGTCTAAATTTCCGGAGCCCTCCATTACGATATCACCTATAATCATACGATGGT